TGTGTGTGTGTGTGTGTGTGTGTGTGTGTGTGTGTGTGTGTGTGTGTGTGTGTGTGTGTGTGCGACCATTCGAAGCGATTTTTTGGACTAATTTGCCAAAAATCGGCTTCATATTTTCAGCAAATTTCGAAATCGAAACCGGCGAGCACAAATACGCATTTACACAACAAAACTCTCAAAATATACATTTTTTTTCATCAAACATAAATGTAAAAAAGCAAAAAAAAAACAAACTTTCCGCGGTTGTGTACACAGAATTTTTTTCTCGACTGGCACAATGCCATCCAGGGCGAGATACTGCGGGATCTGGGTGCTTTTGCCGGATCCAGTTTCCGCAACAACAACAAGTACCTGGGTCTAAACAATAAAAATATGTAAAATTGCAGTAAAAAACAAAAATTTTCGTGAGTTTCAAACTAATGTAACTTCTTGGCTTTCAGCCAAAAAAAAGCTGCTAGTGAAAACTGTGGCTAAAAAGGGAAATCTATCAAAATTTCATTTTTAAAGTGAAAAAACTTTTTTTTTTTCAAAAAAGAGCAAAATTTTCATTTTTAATTTATACCTCGTGGCACAAAATGCGCTTGATATCCGGCCTGAAGTTGTAGATCGGTAAACCGGAAGCAAAGCGGTCAATTTCGCGTTCCATCCGTCTAAAAAAACAAAGATTTTTTTTAAAAAAAAGCTCCCAATTACTCAATGAAAAGCTGTTTTGCCCCTCAAACAAGCTTCCACACAGCTTCTCAAAGTTACATTCAAATTCTATGATAAAGATGACAAAACTTCTCGTCACACAAAAACGGCTGGGTAGGAGAAGGCTGGTACTGATTTACAACTGTCCCCGCACTTTGTGCTCCATGTTTACAGCTAAGGGATGAAACAGACTACTTCGCAAATCATAATACCTATTATTTAGCTGAATCCCTTACCCTGGAGCTCAATATTTCAATCTTTTAAATACCGAAAATCGCAAAATTCGCAAAATTCTTAAGATTCTTAAGATGCGAATTAATTCTTGATTCTTAGTTCTTAATTAAGACGAAAATTCTTAAGAAAAAAAAAAATTCTTAAGATGCGAAGCTAAAAGCCAATTGTGAGGTAAAAATCAGGGAGAAAATCGTTAAAAAAACAGATTGGAAAAGAAAGACAAGCGCAAAAAAGCAAGTGAACTGGGCACGTTGAACAGATTTCGAAGATCCATGATCAGAAACAAATCTCAGATTTTGCCACTACTTGTGTACTTCTGCTCCCTCGACCCTCAAGTGATGGAGGAATCATCGTCCGATCGCTCAAAACGGTCACTTACAAAAACTGGCACACACCGAACGTGAAATTTGTGGGAATTGGAAGCTCATTACTTGCCTTTATACCCACACACTCAGACACGCAGACAATTCCTCCACAAATATGCGTTTTTGCAATGCATAGCTGCAAATAAATATCAACGTGCACT